CTATTACCCAAGTTCTAATTCCTTGATTCAAAATCGAATTCCCTTAGTTGTAAAACATACCTTCTCAGGCTACATTTCCCTACTTATCCCTATCAAGCTTCCGCACTCAACAAAACGAAGATTAATAGTTTAAAGTCTTTTAAGTTTTATGGAATTCTATCTAGATTTCATAGATCGCTAAACCTATCTCTAGTGTTTGCTTAATCTACGGTATTTATCCCAAGAAGCACAATCACAAATCACTTCTCAGTCTCATTGTGAACAACACACATTTGAATGGTGATCAAGCATCCAAAAGTCATTAAGCAAAGAGATAAACACTCAATCATGAAATTAAAACTCAAAGTAAATCAATTCATATAAATTTGAATAATTACATCAAGTTTTTTTTAACCCTAGCTTAACAACTCAGTTCATACTCAAAAACGAAATAAAATAACAAAAACAAACTGAATCAAGATTCATCATTGAAAAACAAGCAAAAGATGGAGAAATCTTCTCTAATTTGAAACCCAAATCTTCAATAATCTTCTCCTTCCAAGAGCTGCCTCCCAAATGACGAACCAAGTCTCCTTTCTCTTCCTTTTTGCTCTAATTTATACCTCTCTCACTTAAGGATGAAGCCCTAGCAAGCCAAAACGCTTTTATTTTTACATCTGATGCAGGTTTCGCAGTGGTGAAGCTTTTTCTTCACCACGGCGAGGACTTTCGGGCCAAATTTTAGCATGATAGAGTCTGAATCTGGAAAAGTGTTAAACATATAAATTGTAGCCCTTTCAATTAGGTTTCTGGTAGTTCAGGAATAAGCACAATCCGAGGTCTACAGATCAGGTTATGGTAGAAATACGGAAGCACGTCCAAAGACGTTTTTCTTCAGTTCCCAGCGTACTTTTTACGACTTCAAGCCAATTTTTTACCCTCGTCCAGTCCGAATTAGGGAAAATCCAAAACATGAAAGTTGTAGCTCTTCTTCTTAGCTTTCCAAAGCTTCTAAATTCAGGTCATTCCGAGTTTCCAAACTCAAGTTACACAATTTACGCTCAAAACTGTCATTTATGCTAAAAATCATCGTTTAGGCCAGCAAAGACAAATTAATAGAATTAAGTAGCAATTATGGCCCAAATTGTATGAAAAGTATCCTAAATCCTATCAAAATTTAATGCAAAATCATAGTGTAAAATATGATTATCAAATACCCCAAACTTAACATTTGCTCGTCCTCGAGCAAAAAGGAATAAAAACTCAAAGAAAGAAAAGCAACAAACAACCAAAACACAAAACACAAAACAACAAAACTGAAAATGAACAAACAAAAATTAGACCCAAACTCAACACAAGAATTGCCTAAAATTTATACAAGTCTCTAAGGTTGTTAAAAAATTATTACTAGAAAATGTTCAACACTCCAAGAAGTTATAAGTTGCATCGACTATCTTTCTCTATTGGTCCCCCGAGTAGGTGATCCCCACTTCAGTCCACATTCCGACTTCCCGGATTATTTTATGCAGAAATGTAAAATTTATCAAATGGCGGCAGACTCCATAAGCCTAAGTATGGAACTACTCTCCACTAATATAGACTAGACATCGCTAAGACTCAAAAGGTCTTTGCAAGCTTGTAACGTTAGGCTCGGGTAGTGGACTCCAAGGAAAAGGATAGGATAAACAAAGTAAGAGAACTCGGTTTTCCTCATGCAAACACTAAGAGCTACATCAATCTCCGCTTTCTTCCTTAACCACCAATCAAAGTGTCAACCATTTTACAACCCTCAAACTTATGCATTTCTTATTTTTTATTTTAAATCGAACTAAAGAAAATTTTTTTTTCTTCTTCTTCTTCTTCTTCTTTTTATTTTTTATTACAAATATTTACAACACCATTGAGGTCTATTGCCCCTTCTTCTTGCCCTTTTTGCAACCCCCAAACTTAAGATTTGCTCTATCACTTATTCACACACCTCTCAAAGCTCTTTTGTGTCATACATTTGGTCCATAATTCTCCTAAAGGGTATGATAAAGTGTTTAGGGTATAGCGATTGGACAATTTTTTTGTTTGCAAGGAAAATAAGGCAATGATAATCTCATAAGGCTCAAATGGGTGACTAGGGAAATATTCATTCATGGGTCGGCTGGAAAGGCTCAAACGTTCCGAAAAATGCCTAAATCATTTCCTCAACAATGTCTAATCCTAGAATTTCGCCTCAAGCACTTCTCTACTAAGTTCTAGAGTCCACCAACATTATCAAACTTTACCTAACCACATAAAATGAATCTAAGCATGCCGAAATAAATGAAAATGGTGGCTGAACCACTCAACAAACCTCAATCAAAATTCAGTCAATAAACATAAACTTGAAGTAATGCTTAACATTTTCCAAAAATAATATCCCAACAATTCTAGTTTCATCATAGGCTTATGCAATTCATCTAGGCAACAACACACACAAAACACACTAAACAAACAACAATCAAAGAACTTAAAACAAAAAGAAACACACAAACAAACTAAACACACAAATTCTCACAAATTCTCAAAAATTTCCTAGCCCCAAACTTAAAATGACATTGTCCCCTATGTCACATCATGCACATCCAAGGAATAGAAAAAAACAAAAGTAAAGGTTACGAGATACTCCCCTAATTAATCCGTAAAGGCCGATTTTTGTGCAAAATCCTGGCATCCATTCCTTGGCTTTCTCATCATCATCATCTGTCAAACAATTGGAAATCTATGGTGCCAAATGTGTTAGATACCCTCACCGATTAATATGAAAGAATTACATCATAATCTCAACCTTATTGAACTAAACCTAAAATCTAAACAAAAACAAATAAAGAGCTAAAAACCAGGAAATCAACATCAATTCCTACTTACAAAACATAAAGAAATAAAAGCAAAAACTAAAAAGAAAAGTGCTCACTTCACTTCTTCTACTTCTTCCTCTTCACACAACCCAAATTGCTAAAGCACTTCAACACAACAACCCACTTCTCAACAACAAATTAAATCAAAATCAACAATTTCTACACTCACAACAACTCAATCCTCAAATTCTCAACCAACATCCACAATCAACAAATTCAAGCAATTTCAACAAAAACAAATCCACAATTGAAAGTGAACGAAAAAGCACAAAAACTCTTAACCTACCAAGCCCAAGCTTCCAACCTGCAATTGCCCAATTTCATAAAATCACAAAGAAAGCTCCAAATTTTCAAAACCTAGGGGTTGGTAAAATTTCTTCAAAATGGGTTAAATTGGGGCAATTAAAAGGTACATATTGTTTAAAGAGGTAAGGGAGTGGAATAGTGGGAAGAAAATTCAATGAAAACTCTCTGGATTGAATTTGAAGTGTTTGGCTTGGATTGGTTTTGAAGTTTTTCATGAAAAATGAAAAATGACTGGAGTATAATGGGAAACAGACTCGCCGCAGCGATTCTTTATGCAATGCAAAATTGAAACCTAGTCAATGCAGTGGCGAGACAATTCTCGCCGCGGTGAAAATTACAGAAGCTCATCGCCTCGGCGAAGAACAAGCTTCGCCATGGCAAATTTTCCTTAGTCAATTTCGCTCAACTTCCTTCGCCGCGGCAGAAATACAGAGGCTCATCGCCTCGGCGAAAAAATTACTTCGCTGCGGTAAGTCTGGGACTTTCCGACTTCCAATTTTGCAAAATGTCTTCGCTGTGGTGAAAACTGGAAGAATTCCATTTTTCGCCTTGATTCATATTTCACCTGAAACCCCCAACAACCACGAAATCAAAATCATTCTAAATCATAAAACAACTAACAAATTCAAAAACAAAAAAAAAAAAAAAAACAAATGAAAACACTTGGGTTGACTCCCAAGAAGCGCTTGTTTATAGTCGGAAGCTCGACTTTCCCATGGTCTTTCGCCAATACAGATCCTTGTGGGGTGCTTCACTTCCTATTGCCACCTCTTGGTTTTTCCTTTGGAATTTCGAACATTCTCATAAGCATCTTTTCAGAACTTTAAGTTCGTATATGCGTACTTGAGATGAGATGGTGATTGGTTGAGTCCAATGTTTGGAGTCTCTTCCAACACCAATTTTGACTTGTTTGCATTTACACCAAATTCCTCAAATTGTTCCTTGTGAGGTGAGTTGCTTGGTTGAAATTCCCCTAAGTATCTTGCACACCATTTTGCTTTGAGATTTTCCTTTTCATTAGTCTTGTCTTTATGTTCTTCCAACTTTTCTTCGTTGTGAGGTTGCTCCAACACTATACCTCTCCTCAATGTTATGACATTTTATTGTTCTTTAGGATTTGTGACCGTTGTGCTTGGCAAAGAAACTTGAGATCTCTCTGTCAATTGTTCAACCAATTGCCCTACTTGAACCTCTAAATTTCGAATGGACACTCCTTGATTTCTGAAGTTTGAGCGTGTCTCATTCATAAAACTTGTGGTTTCTCGCATGCATTTCTCGAACATACCCTCCAATCTCGACATTCTTTGCTCACATGGTTGATGGTTTGGCACTGTCCTTTGATTTGATTGACTGCTTTGATTGCTCCAGGACAAATTTGGGTGATTCCCCCAATCAAGATTGTAGGTATTGGCAAAGGAGTCATTTTGCAGCCTTTGTGAACTAACAATGTAATTCACTTGCTCGGTTGTTGAGAAGAATAACTGGTTTCCATCTTGGCATTCCTCACTCTCATGGTTTCCTGCACAAAATTCACAAGTTATAAAAGGTGAGTGAATAGAATTTACATTCATACCTCCCAATTAGCTTTGAAGTGATGCAATTTGTGCAGATAATGTGGCAAACGAATTGACTTCATGTAGACCCATTGTTCTCTTTGGCATTGCTCTCTCATTAGGTCTTTGGTAGTTATTGTTGCCCATCACCTCAAGCAATCCATAAGCATCTTCCGAGGTCTTGTTATTTAAGGCTCCACCTGCTGCCACATCTACCATAGTTTGAATATTTGGTAACAACCCATTGTAAAATGTTTGGACTTGTCTCCAGAACGGTAGACCATTATGTGGACAATTCTTCAACAACTCCGTGTACCTCTCCCAAGCTTCATAAAGGGATTCGTCGTTGCCGTGCATGAAAGAGGTAATGTCATGTCTCATACTTAAGACTATACAATATTTACGACTAACTACAAAAATGAAATAAAAGCTTCAATTTAGCACTACACTAGATACTATCAATATTAATAATCAACTATCCCCGGCAACAGCGCCAAAAACTTGATGCATTGTAACTACAACATGCATAAATAGCAAGTGCATTAGTCGCACAAAGTAATAAAGTGATGAGTGAGTATCGTTCTCATGAGGATAGTGTTACTAAGTACCGATTTCTCTAGTTTAAGTCATAATTGAAGCAACAATAAATTGGATTGATGGAAAATTAACAAACTAAATACAAATTAACAAAATATAAATGAATGATAATGAAATTAAAGGAAAACCCAACAACTTAACTAATTAAACAATGCTAAAAAATGCTAGGGTGTTGATTTCACCTAGATACGCTAACCTAATTCATAGAATCTATTACCCAAGTTCTAATTCCTTGATTGAAAATCGAATTCCCTAAGTTGTAAAACATACCTTCTCAGGCTACATTTCCCTACTTATCCCTATCAAGCTTCTGCACTCAACAAAATGAAGATTAATAGTTTAAAGTCTTTTAAGTTTTATGGAATTCTATCTAGATTTCATAGATCGCTAAACCTATCTCTAGCGTTTGCTTAATCTACGGTATTTATCCCAAGAAGCACAATCACAAATCACTTCTCAGTCTCATTGTGAACAACACACATTTGAATGGTGATCAAGCATCCAAAAGTCATTAAGCAAAGAGATAAACACTCAATTATGTATTTAATTCTTAAAGTAAATCAATTCATATAAATTTGAATTATTTTATCAAGGTTACATCAAACCCTAGCTTAACAACTCAGTTCATACTCAAAAACTAAATAAAATATCAAAAACTAACTGAATCAAGATTCATCATTGAAAAACAAGCAAAAGATGGAGAAATCTTCTCTAATTTGAAACCCAAATCTTCAATAATCTTCTCCTTCCAAGAGCTGCCTCCCAAATGACGAACCAAGTCTCCTTTCTCTTCCTTTTTGCTCTAATTTATACCTCTCTCACTTAAGGATGAAGCCCTAGCAAGCCAAAACGCTTTTATTTTTACATCTGATGCAGGTTTCGCCGTGGCGAAGCTTTTTCTTCACCACGGCGAGGACGTTCGGGCCAAATTTCAGCATGATAGAGTCTGAATCTGGAAAAGTGTTAAACATATGAATTGTAGCCCTTTCAATTATGTTTCTGTTAGTTCAGGAATAAGCACAATCCGAGGTCTACAGCTCAGGTTATGGCAGAAATACGGAAGCACGTCCAAAGACGTTTTTCTTCAGTTCCCAGCGTACTTTTCACGACTTCAAGCCAAGTTTTCACCCTCGTCCAGTCAGAATTAGGGAAAATCCAAAACGTGAAAGTTGTAGCTCTTCTTCTTAGCTTTCTAAACCTTCTAAATTTAGGTCATTCCGAGTTTCCAAACTCAAGTTACACAATTTACGCTTAAAACTGTTATTTATGCTAAAAATCATCGTTTAGGCCTGCAAAGACAAATTAATAGAATTAGGTAGCAATTATGGCCCAAATTATATGAAAAGTATCCTAAATCCTATCAAAATTCAATGCAAAATCATAGTGTAAAATATGATTATCAATATTCAAGTCAGAAATGTAATGATGATATTATAATATATCATTTGTACAGTGAATAATGGTTCATCGTTTGTGCTTTAAATGAATGTTATCATTTAGCGTGGGATTTAAATTGGTTCGTAATAGAATCGAAGTTTTTTTCAATGTGCAATAGGAATGTTTATTTATAGATTTTGTTAATTTACATTATAATATATTTAGATCGATGTTTGTCACGTATGTGTAGACAATCCAATGATAATATTGAATATAGAGAATAACACTTTTATTGAGATATTTTTACATATGCAATAAATAACATAAAGAGCTCACTAAAAATTATATTTCATACATACTATTTGGTAATCTACGTTATATCTTGGACATGTGATATTTTCTGGTAACGTTGATCTGGTCCAATGTATAAGATTTTGATTCTCTTTGTCGCAAATCTGAAATATTCTCCTTTTAATGAGAATTGTCACAGTTGGAGTCATGGACTTGAACAATTCCCTGTAATTTTTCATTTTGTGGAATTGATTGGTTACTTTCACTAATTTCATTAAAAATTTTACACCTCTACTGTCGTGCATAGTGATTAGAGCAACGACGATCTGATACATTGCTTGCTGGTTATCTTGTTTGCAAGATTCAATAAGCAGTTGTAATCCTCTATTTCTATCATGTTCTACGCATAATAAATGTGTTCCAAGCAATAGTGAAGCATGGTTATTTTCTACTACAGCAAGGATCTTCAAAATTGAACGCCTTGTAGTTGTTATTGCTGGTACTTTGTGTCGTTATTTGAAGATGTTTCTTCTATGTAAGACTTGTTTTACTTTTGACTATTGGTTTAGAGACTTGCACTTGTAAATTGTAAGTTAAATAATGGTTTTCAAACATAAGATCCACAATTAAAAAAAAAAAAAATATATATATATATATAAGGTGTAAATAATAGTTTCAAACAGTTGGTAATCATAATATCATTACTTGTATGATGAAGAAGTTAACAATAAAAAAGTGTGAAAAATATGGTTCAGTTAAATATCCATTCTAACATGTGTTTTGGTTTTTATATATTAGAAAGTTGTTAACAACTAAAAACAAGTTATTCGGCATCATCTGTTTCAATTGTTGGGAGTCGACATACGGTTTTCTATATGACTAATAAAACAATGAAATTAACAGATTAACAAAACATGATGATACTAGTAAAACTTACGTTAATCGTATTGCTTGAAGAGTGGTGTTGTTATTCTAAATTGCTTTTGCAATGATTCGTTGCAATATTTGTGATGGTAATTGTAACAGGTTTGTGGGTTGTGTTTTTGTTCTTTTGTAAGGAATCATGCTGTTCTGGTGGTGTTTTTTCGATGTAAGTATATTGAAATTATAGAGTTGTTATGGTGTTAGTGGTTTATATAATTTTTGTGTAGATATTGGATACTGAACAGTTTTCTGTGTTTGGATTTGGTAGATATTATCGTGTTAATTATTAATGGGAATTAGAGTTGTTATTTTTGAAACTCATTTTTAGTATTCTTATAATTTAATGATGGTATTTTTAGTTTGGTGAACATTAATTATTAGATTTTGTTATATATATATCAGATATCGTTCTTTCATTTTTTGTTCTACCAAGAAAAATTGATTATTCTATTCAACGAATATAAACTTTTTTGTTCATAATCATTTATGTTAAGTATTCATTTATCTTAAGTGTAAACGGTTTGCATTCATTTATATCTCTACATAGGTATATTAAGTATTTGATACATTCGATTAATACGAATCTTTTTAAATTCATATAAGTTAATGTATTGGATGATATTTTCTACATCGTACGTGAATTATGTGCATATCTTATGCAAGTGTCTGATTCTCCGAAAGTTCTATGAGATAATTGGGAAACTGGTCAAATGAAAGAGGGTGCCTCTCCTGTAAGAAGATGGGAGGATCTGGACATTGATTTATTGGTGAAAATCTTTCTATGTTTTGATGTTTTGGAGTTGACTTCAGGCAGTGCTCATGTTTGTAATTCATGGTGTTCAGCTTGCCATGATCCTCTGCTTTGGAAAACTCTTGATTTGTCAATGTTGAGATCAAATTTTATTAAAATCCCGTTAGAGCCATATGTTTACGTGGATGAGTGTTCTGATAAGGCATTGACTCGTTTGTCGAAAATTTCGTTGAGTCTCAGTCGAGGACAAATAACAACCTTGATTTTTCACTTCAATTTGTATGCGGGGGACGAACAATTTACTTATATTGCTGAAAGGTAATTTTTTTATGTTTCTGTTTAAAACCTTGTTCAAAGGTAATTTTTTTTTTTTTTTTCGCTGTTTATTGATTGAGTCTTTGGCATTGCCTTTGGTACTAGTGATCATTACCTTTAATTTTCTTTTTGGTATAGTCAATTAGGAAGTAACGCACTATATATTGTTGTCTGCAGGTGTCCTCATCTGAGGTGTCTCGTTATGCCATCTTGAAATAAAATAAAGAATGATGAAATTTGCAAGGCCATTCGTACATGGAGATCTCTCAAATCCTTGATAATGCCTAGTATAGTAAATCTGCCTTATCTTGTAGAGGAAATAGCCATAAATTGCAAGAACTTCAATGAACTGAAGATCATGGGTCCTTTTGATGTTCTCTTTGCTTCTATGATAGTCAAATTTCTTCCAAATTTGAAGGTTTTGAGCTTGAGATGCTCAACGATAGTTAAGGATGCCCTATTGCTTATATTGGATGACCTACCAAATCTAGAAGTCCTCAACATATCGCATAGACTTCTTATAGAAGGTCCACTTCTTTCTCTAGTGATGCCCAAAAAAATTATTAAGAACCTAGATAAAATTATCTGGGAAAAGGCTGCTCAATTACATGAGTTCTTAACATGTATCGAGCACTTGTGCATCACGTGCCAACATACTCAAAGTGATGAAGGCTTTATGAGGTGGTACAAGTATGAGGAAGGTCTATGGAAAATAGATGAAGCGAGGTCTCTTGCTCTTTGATTAGGACACTGTAGAGACTGTAATTTTAATATTTTGTTTTGCTTGTATGTAATATATAGATAATATGTTGTTGAATAAGCATATATAGAATTGGTCTGTTGTGTTTTAGGTTGTCATGCTCTTAAGACTTTTGTTTTAGGTCGTCAACACTATCAAACTTGCACGATGATCTTTTCCTATGGGAAGAGTATTATCTGTCTACATAATTTATGTACACATGTTAAAATTTTACTTTATGTTGTTTCAAATTTATCTTTTGTTGTTCATTAATGTTATTTCAAAATGAAGTAGTTTCAAACTAATACACAATTGAGTATTTTATATATTTCAATTCATGTTATTTATTTTGTAATTGTTATTGTGAAATTCATTTCTATTGTCAGGTTT